CTTCTACCTGTTTTCTGGGGTCTGCTCCTTGTTTGAATTTCTTCTGAACCCCTACCTGGTTCCCACTCGAACTTCCAAGTGCAGGGGTCGGGGAGGATGTTGGGAGGGTCGGAAGCAGGCATTGAGAGGTTTCTCTCAGTCCCTGGCACTTCCCATGGAGAGAGGAAAAAATCCCAGGACAAGATCCCCGCGTAGAAGGGAGCACCTGCCCTGCCCCTAAGTTCTGCCTGGGACCCTTTCCTCCTTCGCACGCTGACTCTCTGCTCCACCCCTCTTTTTCTCCCTACCCCCCACTGCTACAACCTCATTATGTCCTTGACCTTCATTTCCTCTTGATCCAAAGCAAAATGTTTCTTTGCTTGGGGAGGAGGCAAGACAGGAGAAGCAGCAGGAGTCTTGGGCTTCTGCCAGACTGTGGCATAAGAAGCCAGGTGTACGGACTATACAGATGAATGTATACAAACATATCCACTCCAGTAAGTACTCCAACTGGCAACTGGCAAAGCCTAGCAGTAGAGAGCTGTTTTGAAGCTTTCTTTAATTTTTTTGTCTTACATTAAAAAGCCAAGAGAAATTTCTAGTCACTTGCAGATTATTTCTTTTAACATGGAGATAATTTTTCACATTTCTAATCAAAGAGTAAAGTTGATGGATCAGGAAGATGTACACTCCTAAGGTTTTGTTTATAACCAGAGTGGTGGTCAATTTTATGTGTCAGTGTGGCTAGGCTATAGTGTTCAGTTGTTTGGTCAAACACTAGTCTAGGTGTTTGTGTGAAGGTATTTTTTAAAGATGTGATTAACATTTATAATCAATAGAATCAATAGACTTCTAAGTATAGTGGTCCCCCCTTGTCCATAGGGGATACATTCCAAGACCCCGAGTGGATGCCTAAAACCAAGTTAGTACTAAACCCTACATGTTCTGTGTCCTCCTATACACACACAACCACGATAAAGTTTAATTTCACAGTTAGGCGCTATAAGAGATTAACAGCAAACTAATAATAAAATAGAACAAGTATATTAATAACAATATACTTTAATAAAAGTTATATGAATGTGGTCTCTCTCTCTCAAAATACATTGTTCCACCTACAAATTTAATACTTTTTCCATCTTAACTAAGCACTTTTCACACACTGCGGCCATAACTTCTGTAGTTTGAGATGTGGCACCAAAATTAGCAGGCATTTCCTTTTCTTTCTTTACAATTTCATAGATAGAAGATTTTTTCTTACCATAACTCTTAGCAACCTCAGCACACAATTTTTTTTCTTTCCCTATTGAGAACTTTCTCCTTTTCACTTAAAGGAAGGATGTTATGGCCTCTCTTTGGCTTGTCTGTATTGCCAACGTCACTACTCTTGTGCTTTGGGGCCATTATTAAGTACAATAAAGATTACTTGAACACAGGCATTGTGATGCCACAATGGCTACCAGGTGACTAACAGGTATGCAACGTGAATAATCTGGACAAAGGGAGGATTCACGTTTCTGTACATAGAGAGAGGCGCAGAGGGAGATTTCATTGTGCTACTCAGAACGGTGCACAATTTAAAGCTTATCAATAGTTTTTTTCTGCAATTTTTCATTTATTACTTTCAGATGGATGTTGACCGCAGATAACTGAAACCGTGGAAAGTGAAGCTGCAGATGGGGCGAGGGGACTGCTGTAAACTGATAACCCTTCACAGTGTGGCTCAGCCTCAGCCAATCAGTTGAAGTCCTTAAGTGCAAAGACAGATTTCTCAAGGAAGAAGGGTTTCTGCTTCTAGACTGCAACACAGAAATTGTGCCTGAGCTCCCAGCTTGTAGACTCAGGACTGCAATACCAACTCTTACCTGACTCTCCATCCTGCTGGCCTGCCTCATACATCAGATTTCAGAGTTATAACCCTCAATAATTTTGTAAGTCAATTCTTTAAAATTTCTCTTTCTCATATCGAACCTTGAACAATGCAGAATTTGGGATGCCAACCCCCTGTGCACTCTAAAATCCACATATAATTTTTGACTTCCCCAAAACTCAACTACTAATAGCTTACCATTGATTAGAAACCTTATCAATAACATAAACAGTTGATTAGCACATATTTTGTGTGTGTGTATATGTATTATATACTATATTTTTATAGGAAAGTAATCCAGAGAAAAGAAAATGTTATTAAAAAAATCATAAGGAAGAGAAAATACATTTACAGTGCTGTACTATATCAATACCTTAAGTATACATTATCTGTTCACAAGATGAATCATTTGTTTGAAATGGTGGGTAAACCTCAGCTGCAGATCTCGTCTACAATACCTATCAAGAAATCAAAGTTTTTTTGTTTGTTTGTTTGCTTTTGTTTGTTTGTTCGTTCATTTTTTGTAATGTCAGGACTGTTCTCTGCCTCTTGGGAGCATTTTGAGCATCACTAGTGGGATTTTGTAGGTGTCCCATGGTTTTATGCAAGGTTTACGGTATTGCATTAATCATAATGAAAAACACACAGAACCATGAGGGACCCCTTTTTACAGCTATATGAAATTTGCTGGAGAGACAAACTGCTCACTTGGAGATGATTAGTGTTATAACATCATTTTAAGTGATACAATACTTGAGCTCACTGCTGAAGCAACAGGCTGTAGCTATGAAATTATTATAGAAGTACAGTGTGCACTACAATTAATTTTATGCAGTTATAATTCAATACTACATCTTTAGGTTTGTTTATATTTCTCTTGACTGCAAATGGTGCCATGTATGGTCTGTAAGTGTTTGTGTAACTTTATAAATTTCAACTTTTCCTAATAGATTTGTGTATATTTTATGGTAATAAATGATAAAATAGACTAGTATCTATATATATTTTATGTAGTTGTGACATACCTTTTTCTTAACTTTTTTGATATTTCTAGGCTACATGTTTTATCTGTGAGCTTTTTCAAATTGTCAAAAATTTCCAAAAATGTTTTTAATATATTTATTGAAAACAATCCACACCTATGTGGACCCATCAATTCAAACTTGTGTTGTTCAAAGGTCAATTGTGTGTGTGAGTGAGAGAGAGAGAGTGTGTGTGTGTGCATAAAATATATGTGCATATTCTATATGTAATAGACTAGGGCTGTCTAGAAAGTATCCAGCCATTGCTAATACTATTTTCATATTACATGGCTGGATACTTTCCAGACAGCATATATATTTTATATATATAAATAAAACTTATATATCAGTTTTGTTTCTCTAGAGAACCATGACTAATACAACCTGGTACACTGGTACATATCTCAGGAGTATGTCCTACTTCCACCTAGATTGTACCAGTGACAACAGAAAAGCCATATGTGTTAGTCAGATAGGCTGGCGAAGCTGAGGTAATTAACAAGTCTCAACGCCTCAGTTGCTTAGCACTACACAGACTTAGTCCTCCCTCATGCCACATTCCATCGCAGGGACAAGAACTCAAATGACTACAGGGCCCAGACAGGTGAAGTAGATGATTGATTGAGCCTGTGGGCACTGCAGTGACCTGAGAGAAAATGCTTTATTCTAAATTAGGAAGCTGTTGTTACCTTGTAGGAAAAGGAACACTTGTGTCCAAACATCTCAACCTTTCAATAGACAAGAGGGATTTAGATTTTTAAATATAAAATGTCTAACTGATTTTGGCAACACATTCCAATGAAAAAAATAAAATCATGTGTAGTCCAAATAAAATTTTACTTTTATTTCAGTAGGCCCAGGGATCTCCTGCTGACAACTCCTGTTTGAAAATGACTATCCAGGAAGACTCATTCTTGTTTATCTTGAGCTCAGGCACAGCTTAACATAAGTCCCTCTATTATAAAGACATCTGTACCCGAATGCTTATGCCAGCACAATTCACTATTGCACGGTCATGGAAACTACCCAAGTGCCCGTCAATTCATGAGTGGATAACTAAAATATGGTATATGCTCACAATGGAATATTATTCAAGCCTAAGAAATGACTGTGAGCTAGCACGGTTTATGCTATCCTGGATTAAGTTTAAGTCTGTAATACAAAGCGAGAAAACACAAGATCTGGAAAGTGGGGTACACATCTACTCGCCATCAAATTGGTACTGACTGACTAAAACTATGGTGCTCAAAAAGTGGTAGTGCTCAACAGGGATTGGTGGGGGGGACCCACATCTTAAGGAAGTGGTGAGCATTGTGGGGGGGAAGGGATTACCTCTATTCCCTTTCAGGGAGAGGCAAAGATATACACTGTAATCAAAATGTCTAAAAAAAATCTGTTATCGGGAGGTGGACAGGTGGAAGAGGGGAGAAGGGGAAGGGTGTGTACTTACACGGTGGGTGCGGTGCAGCACTACATGGAGGCTGCACACGCTAGAAGCTCTGGCATAGCGGGGTGGGGGAGGGGGGCACTGGCAAGATATGTAAGCCTAACAATAATTGTACCCCCATAATATGAGGTAATAAAAAATAATAATTAAACATAAAAAATATAAAAAATAAAAAAATAGAAACCAACAAACAAAAAAACCCATAGTTCCAAGAAGCAGCAGTGAGGTCCTGTTTATAAATCACAGAAGACTTCATCTGTCAGCACCATGTGTAAAACCAAGAAACTCTAATGATAAAGACATAAAACCAGCCTGCCCAGATATTATATTATATAATATAATAAATATTATATAAACCAAGAGCGAGCAAATTAGTAGGACTTTCACAAAAATCACTCTATTACTTGCATAGATTGAAGCCCACCTTTGTTTAAAAGTCCTTGCCAGAGACATATGAATTGGACTCAGCTACCAATCCAATATTTTCAATTTGTTTTAATGACATTATTTTAATTATCTTCAGAGAAGGATTGTTGAGCTTCTGAAAGACAAGTTGTGGAACCAAACTTCTAGGGAGAGGAAGGAGGGAGAGTTGTATTGTGAATATTATGGCAACAAGAATGAATAAAGCATCAATCGCATGTTTTGTGTGGTACCAGAATCATACTGTGATCCTTAGGAATCACGCTGGAAAACACACTTTATTCCTTAGGTCCAGTCAGGCAATAGAAAACACTTCCAGTATTTTCAAAAGAAGAAAGTCACTGATTTGGAAGAGGTTACACAAGGACTGAAAAGAATCTGACAAACCAAATTGGAGTAAAGGAACCTAGAAAATGTCCACCCAGAAAAAGCAACAAGCCACTTACTACCCTTGGGTGGGAGGAATCGAAGCATCAGGCTCCTTTCCCACTAGCGTGTAAGCTCTGTGAGCGTGGAGACCTCGTCTGTCTGCTCACTGCCCCGTCGCTCATGCTTGGACTAGCGTGCCTGGCTGCATTAGTCTGTTCAGGCTGCCATAACAAAACGCCACAGACCGGGTGACTTAAACAACAGACGTTTTTTTTCCCCCACACAGTTCTAGAGGGCAGAAGTCCATGACCAAGGTGCCGTCAGGATTGGTTTCTGCTGAGGCTTCTCTTCCTGGATGTGGATGGCTGTGGATGGCTGTTTTCTTGGTATGTCCTCACATGACCTTTCCTCACTGTGCATGTAGAGAGAGAGAGAGAGAGAGAGATGGATTCTTAGGAATTATGAGCGTCTCCACGCTCACAGAGCTTACATGCTAGTGGGAAAAGAGCCTTGTGCTTCGATTCCTCCCACCCAAGGGTAGTAAGTGACTTCTTGCTCTTTCTGGGTGGATATTTATTTTCTAGTTTCCTTTACTCTGATTTGGTTTGTCAAACTCTTTTCAGTCCTTGTGTAACCTCTTTCATGCAGTGACTTTCTTCTTTTGAAAATACTTGAAGTGCTTTCTGTTGCCTGGCTGGACCTAAGGAATTAAAGCGTGTTTTCCAGCGTGATTCCTGAGGATCACAGTATGATTCTGGTACCACACAAACATGCAAACATCTCTGGTGTTTCTTATAAGCACATCAGCCCTATGTGATTAAGGCTCCACCCTTATGCTCTTGCTTAACCTCCTCATAAACCTTTTCTCCAAAAGCAGTTACATTGGAGAGTTAGGTCTTCAACATGTGAATTTTGAGGGATATAATTCAATCCACAGCACTGGTACATAGTAGATGTTTAATATTAATGGAACCGAATTGCATTCCTTCTATCCTATTCTGGGCTGTACTTTCTACACTGGTTTTAAGTACTGTTATCATGTAGAACCCTCTAGAAATTGACTTACAGGCTTATCATTTATTATACTCTACAGTGAGATGGAATTATTGAAATACCAAGGAAACTTTATTCCAAGTGTCCTTTTACTAACCCCTCTAAACTTCTGGGGCCTCAGAAGATCAAGGTATATCTTTCCCAACTATATGTTAAGAAAAATTAATGTCCAACTTGCTACCAGTAATGTGCAATGTCACCAGAAATGATGAGTGTGAAGGAGATGAGAATATCATGCAATTCCTACACATAACACTAAGTAGAAGTACCATTTGGAGGCTTTGTGTTGTGCAAAAGAGAACGTACATTTGGGAGTGGGTGTGTATTTATGGGTAGAAGAGGAGGAATACCAAAGTTGAGAATATGTAATAAAACTACTGCTTTGTAAGTGAAGTAAGTTAAATATTGGTGATTACATATGGTTTAATGTGATATGTGTGGTTGGGCATATATGTAGATTTCTGTGTGTGTGTGTGTGTATGTGTACATTGTGTGGTTGGGATGTGTATTTATGTGTGGGTCACTTATGAAAGAGTGAATGCATGTGGGCGGCAGGATGTAGTGTATGTGGGTAGAGAAAATCAAGGAAGGTTTCCTGGAGGAGTTAACCTTAAAGCTTAAAGTGAAAGGACAGATAAAAGTTAGCCAGGTGCACTGGTAAAATGGATGGAAACAACGCTGCCCCCAAAGAGAACTATATACCAAGGCCAGGAATAGACTCATGAGAATATCATCACGACTAGATTACAAGGGAGAAGAGAGCTGGAAGGATGAGGAAATGGCCTCAAAGTAGAAAAATGGCAGAGGATGGAGGACACAATGAAGCGTGGAAAAGAACTGGGGCTTTGTAGAAAAGAAGAGAAGACCAAAGACCATTCACAGATTGAGTGGGCTGTCTGCCTAGCAGGCTTAGGTAATGCAGAACAAAGACTACACCAGAAGAGCAGAAAGAGGTTGTAAAATGGTACCAAGTTACAAGAAAAGGTTTGCCCTGGGATAAGGGCAGCTGACAAATCCCCCTGGCAGTGCCCCTGACCCCTTGATCCAACACAGGAAGGATCTAGGTGGGTAGAAGCCGAGCGGGCTCTTTTTGAGCGGCTGAGGCCCATGGAGAGCCTGGAGGTTCTGTTTCCGTGGTTCCTCTTCCTCACCCGCAAGCTGTCTGAAGTCAGAGGGAGAATGAGAGCTTCCTCTTCAGTTTCTGATCATCGTCATTCATTTGTTTTTGTTAATAGCAGAAAAATCCATCTGAAGGGAGCCCCAGCCATTGGAACACATAGCAATGGGCAGGGGCGGAATGAACGCAGGGAGGCAGAGGAAGGTGAGCGGAGACAAGAGACAGAGAAGGACAAAAGGAAGAAGCCAGGAATGGAAAAGAGAGAGAAATGGGGGGTGGGAGTCAGGGTAGGATGTGGGCTGAAGAGGAGGCTGTGTGAGAAACACAGTCAGAGACCTGGGAGGAAGGCGGGAGGGAGTCTCTAACTGAAGGAAATGATGTTGAGCTTTTCTACACAGACTATTCAGAAATTCAGAATCAGACTCCACTTTAAAGGGAGTTGAGCACCTCTCAATCACCTTGCTAATTTCCCTTTTACTGTAGCCTGAGTTAGAGCCCTAGGACACCACCCTGCTCTCATTCAAAAGCAGCCTGATTTCACAGCCCCTGGGCCTGTCATGGGGCTGCTCTGGCATTTTTTCATGGGTTTTCCATCTGCTCCAACCATTGCAAATCCAATTTCGTATTTGGCATAAAGTAAATCAGTTTCAAGAAATATCTTGTCATCATCCAAATCAAAACGGCACATTTGAAATGCTCAATGCCAGCTACAAATTGTCAGAGGGGTCGAAGAAAGAGGAAAAGACTTTGTTCTAGACAGGAGGGGTGAAAAACAAATATTAGAGTGCAGCATGGTTGCTCTTGGTGTCTAAATCGTTCAAGCTGGAAAAGATTTACAAGCGTGGCCAGTCTGTTCTGCTGTTAACACTGCCTCCTTCCAGCCCAACTTCCCATCTCCTCTTCTGGAAGCTTCTAACAGCGATGATCACTTCTGAATATGAGCAAGTCCATTTCTTCTGAGTGTCTGAAAAAGGGGGTAGATTTGGCCACGATCACTTGGGCTGTTCCAGCAGCTCCATTGATATCTAGGGAGACAAGATGTGCTTGTGATCCCCACAACCCTGAAACACTCAGGAATCTTTTGTATGAAGCAGCCCCACAGCTCTCTGGAGAGGTGACCTTGACTCTAATCAAAGAAACACTGAAAGTGAGAACTGGTAGTCAGCACATGATTGATCTCTTATCACAAATTTATGTCTCCTCCTGGGCTGCTTTAATTGTCATTACTTTCTTTTTTGTTAATTTCAAAATATTAAAGGGGTACAAATATTTTTAGGTTACGTGGATTGCTTTTGTAATGCTTGAGTCCTGCCTATAGATGTGCCCATCACCCAAATAGTATTCATTGTACCCATTACACCCATCAGGTAGGTTTTTGCTCCTTCTCTACCACCCACCTCCCTGGTTTATTTCCGATGACTTTTACTTCCCTCTGTGCACTTGTGTGTTCACTGGGTAGTTCCAATAATAATGGTACATGTGGTGCTTGTTTTTCCATTCTTGAGATACTTCACTTAGGAGAATAGTCTCCAGTTCCATCCGGATTGTCACAAAAGGTATTAATTTATCTTTTTATGGCCGAGTAGTATTCCATGGTATACATATACCACATTGTATTAATCCACTCATGAATTGATGGGCATTTGGGTTGATTCCACATCTTTGCAATTGTGAATTATGCTGTAATGAATATTTGAGTGCAAGTGCTTTTTTGATAAAATGACTTCTTTTCCTTTGGGTAAATACCCAGTAGCGGGATTGCAGGGTCAAATGGTAGGTCTACTTTTAGTTTTTTGAGGAATCTCCATAGTGTCTTCCACAGAGGTTGTACTAGTTTGCAGTCCCACCAACAGTGTATAAGTGTTCCTTTCTCTCTGCATCCACACTCAACATCTATTGTTTTAGGACCTTTTAATAAAAGCCATTCTCACTGGGTAAGGTGATATTTCATTGTGGTTTTAATTTGCATTTCCTGGATGATTAGTGACATTGGGAAAATGCCCTTAGTTTCATTTATGAAATTCTTTAAAGCCTTAACGTGCATAGTTGCCTGGGAGAGAGTCTACATTAGCAAGTTACCAAATCAAAAAGTCTGTCTTATTTCCCAAGCAGGGGAGCAGCACCACACAAGAAGAAGAACTGTCAAGTGTTGAAAAGAAATGAGAGTGCAGGGAAAAGGAAGAGAAATATTACAGAGAACCCTCCGGATGTTTGCCTCCAGGCCTTTAAACTGGCCAGAAATTCCTGACTTTACTTGACACTCAATGGCGTTTTGGTTTGTTTGGGCTGCTGTAACAAAATGCCTTATAAACAACAGAAATTTATTTCTTGCTTATATTTCTTCTGAGGCTAGGAAGAGCAAGATCAAGGTGCTAGCAGATTCTGTGTCTGGTGAGGGCCCACTTTCTGGTGCATACATAGCCCCTTCTCGCTGCATCCTCACATGGCAGGAGGGGCAAGAACACTCTCTGGGGCCTCTTTTAAAAAGGCACGAATCCCATTCATGAAGGCTTCACCCTCATGACCTTGTCCCCTCCCAAAGGCTGTCCCTCTTAAAACTATCACATTGAGGATTGGGATTAAGCATACACATTTTGGGGGGACACAAGCATTCATACCACTGCAGTGGGTGCTCAATAAATATCTTCGGAACGGATGAATGAGTGACTGCATGAAGCCAGCATTCCTCGTTTGTATTACTTTTGCTAACTCCCCCACCTCTGTCTGCAAGGTTAAGGTCCTCACTCCTTGCTGACCCTCAGCTGTCCTCTAACTTTGTTATATCCCTTACCTGCCTTTGCTTTGATGAAAGAATTTCTCCTAATGAATCTCTTTTCTTCACTGCAGTATATTCTCCTTAAGTGTAGAAAATGTTATCTTGTTAATCTTTGTGTTCTGAGCACTTAGCACAGTATTGGTATCTGGTAGATGTTCGTTCGATAGATGTTGGGTGAGTTGGAATGAATGAATGACATTTTAGCAAACTGGTGATAGATCCAGTCAGAAGTGGATCTGAGTGAGAAGGATTAGAACAGTTAGAATAAAATGGAAGGTCTCTAAAATTTAAATGGCAAAGCCCTAAAAACAACTTCAGGGCAATCGGTCAAGGTTTTGATTCAGATATGGAATATATTAATCTTTAGCATAGCCGAGGAGCTAGAGATAGGGGCAGAGCAGCCACCACGCAAGCTTTGGCAGTATCCATGAATGCTACGGAGGGCCTCCTTACCTCTTCAGATACT